GAGGCTACCTCATAGAACATCTGCAGCTTATCATGACCAACTTTCCTAGAGTCCCACAAAGGATGGAGGGCATGGGGGAGGCCGGGGGGCACACCAGGACAACACACAAAACAAGCAAACAAAAAAAAACAAAATCCCCAAAGAAACAAGACCGAAAAAAACAAAAACAGATGATAACAAGATTGTTCCGTCAGAGTTGCACCGACTCATCAGGAGGCTGAACCCTCGACAATCTGTGGAATCCCCGTATTTGATGGTTTGGGTCATGAACCCTTTGACCCATGTTGAAGGCAGACTGTCCCCAAGAGGGACATAGCAGCGGGCAACAACCCTGTGGAGCACCAGGCAACACAGTAGAGGCAGCCCAACTGCTTATCGCCAAAGACGACTGCAAGGAACGGCAGGGAAAGCGGACGAGCAGCTGGACAACCGTGCGGTGAAGCGCAACGCAACATCAACAAGGCGACTAGACTACAAGGCACGCCAAAAACGATTGGATTAGCCCGGACCGGCTAAAGGAGAGACTACGATATTGTCACCGGCCCCAAGAAGCCTTGGAAAAGATCGTGGATAAAATCCCGCTGGACTGGTGGAGGATTCTGCGTAAAGGCCCTTCCCTACACCAATCAGATTGGGTGGCTATCCGGAATCTGCAAGGAAAGGTAGGGAATGTGGTATGCTGTCACCCTGACGGGACTGTGCAGGTGCAACTCTTCCAAATAGGAAGGGGTAATGCTATGGAAGAGTGCAAACCAGAAGAAAGGAGGATATACCAGAAGGAGGAAGTCTTTAGAATTAGAGTACTCCGACAGGGGGAGCAACAGATAGCTTTCCTCCCCTCCACGCCAATCCACCAGTTGGCTCTGGACCTGATGGAATGGAAATGGAGAACCCGAATGGGGAAGGACAGAAATCACACCCAATCATTGCATAGCCTAACAGTTAAATCCACCTACAGACTCTTAGAGGCCAAGGATTCAACTCCGAGACCAAGTAGAGGAGCGATGGAGAAATCACCTGAATAGCAGCAAGGAGGAATTAAGGCCAATCAAATGGTTCAGTATGGCGAAGACGAAACCGGCCAAGTTCGCTTCACTCCAATGGCAGATTGAGCATCGCTGCCTACCAACCAACAAGTGGTTGATAAACAGAACGTCCCTGGAGCAAAAAAGCCAAGCGCTGCCCTGGTGCAAGTTGTGCACAAATGCATTTCCATCCAGAAAACGCCCAGAGACAATCGAACACATATTCCTTCAATGCCCAGGTGCACTCCGACTGTAGAGATAGTGGGACAGAATCTGGGACCAACTGGAGACAAATACCACGTGGCCCTGGGATTGGCGGGCTCCCCGACGAATTTACCTGTAACCTATTCAAACTTGGAAGAAGGGCGGTGCTTTGGACACTTTGGAGAAGACACTGTACATATGAGATGGAAAGGGCAAGATTAGAAGGGCCCGAATTTACAGAGAGTGTACAACAACAGATTCAAATTGAAATAACAGCACAATGGGAGGACGTCAGAACACGCATTCGCCCCCTTAACAAAAAGAAAGACATCGAGCAAAAAATCCAAGAATTTTCCCTAAGCTGGCTGGGGGGGAGTACCGGCGGAAGGATAGGGAAGGTAGAATGGAAAGGGGAACAACAGGAAGTCGATAAGAGTCATTGGAGGATGGAAATAGTAAGGGACTATCGACTGATATTTCACAACTGGACTATCATTGATACAGCTATTCCACTGAAGTCCCCGGATAACTTCCCTGATTTCCCCCCCCCTCCATCAAATTGCCTAGTTGGAATGCAGTGGTATGGGATGGATGGGTAATCTTTAGAATATGCAGAGTGGTATATCAAGCTGTGCTGCAACGAAGGGGAGATAAGAGGCCAGATATATGAGTTTAGTTAGGCGCCCAACAGCAGGGTGAAGAGGCCTCTCGGTTAAGAGTTTTTCCTTATGCTCATTCCTGCTCAGTCAATCCCCTGGTTTCAGGGTAATCAATGCTGGCAGGCATATATTCGAAAAAAATCTTGTTGATTCTGGGACGCTGGATCAGGTTTCCAGCAGGCGCAGCTCCCCACCAATAGATGGAGCCTCCCCGGGAATGGTAGGGGTGTCTGCTCTTATCAGCACCCCTAGCAAACCCTGAGATTTTTCTCAAAAAAAAAAAAAAAAAAAAAAAAGGCACGCAAGCAAGTAAAGGACGCAGAAGGCCAACCGGGCAAGCAGACGAGCAGCTCGGCAACCGTGCAGTGAAACACAAGGCACCACCAACAAGGCAACCAAACTACAAGGCATGCACGCAAAGGACACTGAAGGCCGACAGGGCACACAGACAAGCAGCTCAGCAACCGTGCAGCGAAGCACGAGGCGCCGCCACAAGGCTACCAAACCACAAGGTACGCGAGCAAAAGACACGGGAGGCACGACCCGCGGGTAGGCAGTAAGGCAGCAGAGCAGCGAGGACGACCTGCAAAGCAAGCGGCACGGGTAACAAGATCGCGGCAGAGCGCAGACAAGACAGTCTACACACCCAACACGGAGCAAAGCAGCACATGACCTACTCACATCACGATAGAACCCCGTAGGCTGTTGTTTCCCACCACCCGCTGAGCCAGGGGGACACTCCGACGACCATCTGTCATCACCAACAGGCAACACAGACATCCCGAACCGAGCGCCCCTCCTAAGAGTGCAGTTGGCAGGCCAAACGAGAAACCACCGACTGTTTGGCACTGCTAGAGGGTGCTCGGCTAGCGACACAAAAAACACTCAGAAAAAATAGGAGAAAGAGGAAAAACAAGCATACCTAAAACTGATTTTTTTTTTTTTTTTTTTTTTTTKTGWGWGKGRGAGAGAGAGAGAAAAAGAAAATAAAATGAAGTGGCCACCATGCGAGTCGGCATAGAGGCACAAGCGGTTATCGCACACCTGAAAATTCGCATATGAAAATTGTGAAGTGGGAAAAATTATGTTGGTTTATGCATCCTGAAAACAATTTCTCTATCATGAAATCGAGAGGAGGGTAAGTTTGTTCATGGTGAAACCACATAGTAAACTTAGTTTTCAACCTTTCTCATCAAACACGATCTTGAAACTCATGTGTATTAAGCTCCCTGAAAATCATGAAGCATCCCGAAGTAGCTTGAACAATGGTCACAAGAGTTGGTTTTATGGTCTTCGGGACGTTCATCACTTCGGGAGGCTTCATGGTTTTCGGGTATTTGAACAAATGGTCATAAGGGCGGCTTTCATGGTCTTCGAGATGCTCATCACTTCGGGACGCTTCATGATTTTTTGTTATCTTGAACAGATGGCCATAAGGGTTGCTTTCATGGTCTTCGGGATGTTCATCACTTCGAGATTCTTCATGATTTTCAGGTAACAACCCTTATGGCATCTAGAAGCTACCCGAAAATCATGAAGCATCACGAAGTGACGAACGCCCCGAAGACCATGCAAGCAATCTTTATGACTATCTGTTCAAGCTATCCGAAAATCATGAAGCATCCCGAAGTGATGAACATCCAAAAGACCTTGAAAGCAACCCTTCTGGCCATCTGTTCAAGCTACCCGAAAATCATGAAGCAACCCGAAGTAATGAACATCCCGAAGACCATGAAAGCAACCCTTATGACCATCGGTTCTAGCTCCCCGAAAATCATGAAACATCCCGAAGTGATGAACGTTCCGAAGATCATGAAAATAACCCTTATGGCCATCTGTTCAAGCTACCTGAAAATCATGAAACATCCTGAAGTGATGAACGTCCCGAAGTCCATGAAAGCAACCTTTATAGTCATCTGTTCAAGCTACCCAAAAATTGTCATAAGGGTTGCTCTCATAGTCTTCAAGACGTTCATTACTTCGGGACACTTCATCATTTTCGTGTATTTTGAACAGATGGCCGTAAGGGTTGCTTTCATGGTCTTCAGGACGTTCATCACTTCGAGATGCTTCATGATTTTCAGGTAGCAACCCTTATGGCATCCCGAAGCTACCCGAAAATCATGAAGCATCCCGAAGTGACGAACGTCTTGAAGACCATGAAAACAATCTTTATGACCATCTGTTCAAGCTACTCGAAAATCATGAAGCATCCCGAAGTGATGAACGTCCAAAAGACCTTGAAAGCAACCCTTCTGGCCATCTGTTCAAGCTACCCGAAAATCATGAAGCAACCCGAAGTAATGAACACCCCGAAAACCATGAAAACAACCCTTATGACCATCTGTTCTAGCTGCCCGAAAATCATGAAGCATCCCGAAGTGATGAGCGTCCCGAAGATCATGAAAGCAACCCTTATGGCCATCTTTCAAGCTACCCGAAAATCATGAAGCGTCTCGAAGTGATGAACGTTCCGAAGTCCATGAAAGCAACTTTTATGACCATCTGTTCAAGCTGTCTGAAAATCATGAAGCATCCCGAAGTGATGAACGTCTCGAAGACCATGAAAGCAACCTTTATGGCCATCTATTCCATCTACCCGAAAATCATGCAGCAACCCGAAGTGATAAACATCCCGAAGAACATGTAAGCAACCCTTATGACTGTCTGTTCTAGCTACCCGTAAATCATGAAACATCTCGAAGTGATGAACGGCCCGAAGATCGTAAAAGCAACCCTTATGACCATCTGTGCAAGCTACCCGAAAATCATGAAGCATCCCAAAGTGATGAACGTCCCGAAGTCCATGAAAGCAACCCTTATGGTCATCTGTTTAAGCTACCTGTAACGAGCCTGAGGCTGAGGGTGAGCCGAGGGAGAGGAGAGAGAGGGAGAGAGTGAGAGCACACACACACACTCACTTACTCGACACGACGGACTCGGACTGAGGATCGGACGCAGACACAGTGGCAAGGCACAAAGTCGAAGTCTTGGATTCCCGAATGCCGAAAACAGCAAGTCACACTAAGTACGAGTACAGCAGCAGAGAACTGGTACGAGACTGGTCCCCATATCGTACGGGGAGCCGGTATAAGTACCGATAACACGTACGGTACTAGGGGCATTTCTGCAAAGATCCCGAGGGCAGAACTGAAAAATGCAGTATTTGAAAGTGGCGCCCGAATTGCAGCATGGCGCCAGTTGTCCAAAATCCTACGGTACCAAAGGAGGGGTTTGGAAAAAGCGTGCCAGACCGAAAACGGGATGCAACCGAAACAGCAAAAGATAGACCAGGGATCGAGCCCTGACGAAGTCCGTAACGCTATCCCCTCCCTCTAGAAGACAACGTCCCGGCTGCCAAAAATCATGAAGCAATGCTGAAATCTGTGAAGGACGGGATGGGGCCGATCACTGGTTAACAAGTCGAAAGGGAAGAGGGGTATAATGTGGGTGGCATGGGCTGCGGGAGTAAGAGGGAACAGGGTTTGGTATCGGTGAACAGAGTTGCCCTACTGATGAACTAGGGGGGGTTGCAAGGAACAGGGTAGTCCTACTGATGAACGAAGGGGACTGCATGGTTCGCTATAGGTTAAGGGGGAACAGAGTTCAGGGAACAATGAACTTCTATAAGTGTTCTACTAGGTAAGGGAAACGGTGTTCAGGAAAACAAGGTATTTCTATTGATGTTGTAGTGGGTAAGGGAAACAATGGTCAGGGGAACAGGGGATGTCTATTGATGTTCTAGTGGGTACGGGGAACAATGGTTAGGGAAACAGGGATTTGCTAATGATGTTCTACAGGGTTGTCAAAGTCAGGAAAAATAAAAATGAAAATGTTAGTTCAGTATGTGAAGGCTGGTGTGTCCGAAGGAGTCGGAAGCAGAATCTCATATAGGAACAAAGTGTCCAAGTGTCTTGAAAAGGGGTCTGCAGCGGTCTTGATCAGGTCTTTGGAGTAGGTGGTAGAAGCGGTCTTCAGCAACTGCGATAGGTAGAAGTCCAGGAAGCGTAGTAGTAGTTCAAGTGTCAAATTCTAAGTGCTAGGGTGCGTCCGGTACACGAACTGCAATGAGGTCTGATCTGGAAGCAAGGAAGTCGCAGACTGATGCAAAGATCCATGTCACAAGTTGTTGCTTTAGTAAGTCCGCGAGTCGGGATGTCGGCCAATGAAACAGCATGGTGGCCAAACCAGCTGCATCATCTCCATGAACAGTGAGGTAGCAGACCATCGTCCTCGTGCGCTTGCCATTAGATCCTTTATCGTTAGTGTCACGCAAGTTCACAAGCATTGGACAAGAGAGACAAGGTAGTGGAGAGGACAGATGGGACGAGGCTAGGCGAGGGCAAGGGCAAATCAGACATCAGGAATGAGGATCAAGGGAAGGGTGGACTGGGTTCAAGGGTGTGTGTAGAGCAGGGTTGCAAGGGTTTTTAGCGGGGGTTTATGCCATAGTGATATAGGTATCTAGGACGTAGGATTAGCACGATCATAGGCGCGGACAAGTTTCATGTCGTTCTTAAGATTAGAGAGAGGTTCCCATGTAGATTCTTTGTCGGGGTATCCGGTCCATTTGACTTTGTATTCAGTGATTGGTTCCGGATGATCAGATACCTGAGTGGTTCGTCGGYCGATGATGGTTTCGACAACGAATTCAGGGCCTGTGGGTAGCATGATTGGTGGAGGTCTAGGATATGGGCGGTCGGCGAACAAGAGAGGGGATTCATGGTATTCTTTTAGGTACTCGACATGGAAGATTGGGTGGACACGACTCATGTCATGGGGGAGTTGGAGTTTGTAGTTGACGGGGGAGGTTTGTTCAATGATGGGGAAGGGACCGAGCCACTTGTTCGAGAGTTTTTGGACAAACCTTGTTCGAGTTCAAAGCGTTTGGCAGAAAGCCAGACTTTGTCCCCTACTTTGAATGACACGTCACGTCTGTGTTTGTTAGTCTTGTTGGCTTGTTGTTCTTGTGTTCTTT